CAATAAACAGGAAATGTTTGTAGCTAGAGAGAAACGTGTAATGTTGTTCACAGGTAGATTTTACACCAGTCTGATGAGTACATCCTGTGTCTCTTCCCAGAGACAAATGCAAGAGTTAAGGCCACAGAGGTTTCTTGTTAGCATCTCATTGCCTCTCATGGGATTATGAGAGATGAGACAAGCTGATGCCTTAGTCTGTTAGGGAGGATGACAGTATGCCAGCGGGGAAGGCTGGACCAACATGTCCAGGGAAGAAACAATTGTAATGATGGGATAGGAAGATGAGGGTTTTTTCAGATTTTCTGTCTTTTTGCAGTCAGGAAACTTATTTTTTACTCTTTAAGCTAAATTCACCAAAAAGCCATATTCTTCACGATGTCTTTCTCAGTGCAAGAAAAGAGAGAAGTGGAAGTGGAAGAGGTTGCTGTGAGGAGGGGGAGGCTATTGCGTGGTAAGTCTGGGGGTACTGGACGACCCATGTGAAAAATAAGCACATGCTTAGTGCATTAGCAAAACAGAGACACTATGAATAAGGAAAAACCACTTCCCTAGAAGTTACCTCTCCACTCTATAATCCAAAGAGATCTGGACCATCAGGCCATCCTGCAGTATATCACGTTGATTCATTGCCCCAAGGTGTCCCAACCTCAGCACTATTGACATATTGAGCCAGACAATTCTTTGTTATAGTGGGCTGTCCTGTGCATTGTAGAATGTTTAGCAGCATCCCTGGCCTCTACCTACTACACACCAGTGGCAACCACATCCCTGTTATGACAACCAAAAATCCACTGCCAATATCCATTGTGGGGCAAAATCCTTCCCAGTTGGGACCTACTACATTACATCAATGATACCACACTGAACAGGCAGGATGAGCAATAGGTGGCCAGCATGATAGTGGCCTAGGTAAGACATGTATGCATGAGAGAGTGGAAGGTGGATTCTGGACTGCCATCTCAAACAGGTGAGGATGGTGTGCCACCTCCTAGAATGCAGTAGACACACTGAATCAGTGATCTCCAACAGGAAGAATACATGGGTCTTAGAATCAAGAGATAAAAGAAGCAGAAGAAGCTATTCTTACCGTTATTCCCAGTTACCCGCTGGAGGGCTTTGTCCTTCAGGTCCCTGGGCTCTGCAGGGTTAGATTTCCCAACTGCAGCAAAAGTCCCTTTGAACCATGACCTATGGCTGCCACCTGCACACTTTAGAGTCCCTGTGCCTAGAAACCAGCAGGCAAGAACAGCAGACTCATCTTGCCAGGGTTAATTGGCCCCGATCAGCAGGATGAAGGGCTGCTGTTCACAATGGGTGCATGGTGGAACCGGTGGAACTCCACTTCGGCGCCTCTCAGTACTCCATTGCCCAACTGAAGCTGTGACTGTGCAAGTGTGGCAACCTCAGCCTAAGAAGAGTATGGTTACCAGGGTCTTAGATCCCTCAGGAATGGGGGTTTAGGTTACACAACAGGTAAGCACTGACACAAACAGTAATGAAATCTTAGGTGAAGGGAACTGAAAATGGTTAGTGGAGGAGGAAGACAGTGAGTACCAGTTGCAGCCCAGGATTGAGTGCACAACGATGACTGCAGTTCATCCTAGAAATCTTCCACTTTTAGTTGCCTCTAAGGAAGAGAGTCCTAGGGGAACCGTGAAGGAACAGATCCCCAAACATACATGGAGCAGTAGATCTGCATGGAGCATGCCTACCAGCCATGGAAGCCATGAAGGTGCACTACACTTGAAGGTTCTCCCTCCAAGAGAACTTAGTCAACTAATGTTTGTCAAGGGTGCCAAGAACTCACAATGGGAAAGAATAGTTTCTTCAATAAATGGTGTTGGGAAAACTGGATATCCACATGCAAAAGAATGAAATTGGACTCATATCTCATATTACTCAAAAATTAACTCGAATTGAATTAAAGACTTAAATATAAGACCTGAAAGTGTAAAACTACCAGAAGAAAATGCAGGGAAAACACTCTTTGACATTGGTCTTGTCAATGATTTTTTTAATATGACACCAAAACTACAGGCAACAAAAGCAAAAATAGACAAGTGGGATAATGTCAAAGTAAAAAGCTTCTGCACAGCAAAGGAAACCATCAAAAAAATGAAAAGGCAACCTATGGAATGAAAGAGAATATTTTCAAATCACATATCTGATGAGGGGTTAATATTAAAAATATACAGGAAACTCACACAACTCAATAGGAAAAAAACCACACAAATATTCTGATTAAAATGTGGGCAAAGGACCTGAATAGACAGTTTTTCAAAGAAAACATACAAACAGCCAACAGGTACATGAAAAGATGCTCAACATCACTAATCATCATGGAAATGCAAACCAAAACCACAATGAAATATCACCTCACAACTGTTAGAATTGTTGTTATCAAAAAGACAAGAAATAATAAGTGTTGGTGAGGATGTGGAGAAAGGGGAACCCTTGTGTACTGTTGGTGGGAATGTAAATTGGTGCAGCCACTATGGAAAACAGTGTGGAAGTTCCTCAAGAAATTAAAAATGGAGCTACCATATGATCCAGCAATCGCACTTCCAAAGGAAATGAAATTAGGATCTTGAAGAGAAATCTGCACCCCCATGTTCATTGCAGCATGGTTCACAACAGCCAAGATACAGAAACAACCTAAGTGACTGTCAACGGATGAATGGATAAAGAAGCTGTGGTATATATATATATATATAATGGAATATTATTCAGCCATAAAAAGAAGGAAATCTTGCCATTTGCCACAACATGGGTGGCTCTTGAGGGCATTATTCTAAGTATAATAAGTCAGAGAGAGAAAGACAAATACTGTATGATTTCACTAATACATGGAATCTAAAAATGTCTAACTCACAGAAACAAAAAGTAGAATGGTGCTTGTCAGGGGTTGGGGATGAGGGAAATGAGAGCTGTTGGTCAAAGGGTATGAACTCCCAGCTATAAGATGAATAATTTCTGAGGATCTAAAGCACAGAATTGAAAAAAAAAAAAAAGAAAAGGAGCGGCCCAGTGGTGTAGTGGTTAAGTTCGTGCACTCCGCTTTGGTGGCCCAGGGTTTGCAGGTTTGGATCCCTTGCACATCACTCATCAAGCCATGCTGTGGCAGGTGTCCCACATAAAATAGAGGAAGATGGGCACAGGTGTTAGCTCAGGGCCAATCTTCCTCAGCAAGAGAAGTAGGATTGGCAACAGATGTTGGCTCAGAGCTAATTTTCCACACAAAAATATAAAAAATGAAAAAAAAAAAAACAGAAAACTTGCCATCTGCTCCAAGGAGCACAGTTAGCTGACAGCCTCCAGCTGCAACACTTTCATGACCCACCTCAGCTTTTGAGCCAAGCCATGCTCTTCCCAGGCATTTCTAGCCAAAGGCTGAGCACAGCAGACCTACCAGTGTCTGCCCAGTGCAGGACTTCACTATTGGTCAGTCTTCACCCCAGAAGTCCCTACTGAGTTGGCCCAGGCTCTGTCAGATCTGAGGCTCTCCCTACCCAACTCAGCTCCCTCCTTTCTTTCCTCTTGCAAGGGTCAGATCTGCAGCACCTTCTGAAGAGTTTCTCTGCCCACTTCTGCTTCCTCCCCTTTGTCTATAACAGGCATTACTCCGCCCCCACCTGCAATAAACCTCCTGCACTCCTAGCTCGTTCTCGGCAGTGCTTCTCAGTGGAACCAGACACAGCAGTATCGTCACCCTCCTCAAGAGCGGTCTGAAGGGAAGTGGAGATGTATGCTAGGTCCTACCTGGGAGAAGATGCCACCTTGCTTAGCCCTCACATCCCCCACCTCATGCAGCTCCCACTGTCACCTGCTCAACCTTAGGTAGTACATTGGGATTTGTTCCTGCCTTCAGACAGAAGAGAGGCTCTGGGAAGAGGCACAAAATGCCTTCTAGACATTATTCCTCCCATGTTCCTGGTTCTAATACTGCTTACATTTATTTGTCCTTGCTATAGTGACATGCCCAGAGTGAAAGAGTCCTGGGCTGGCAGAGGCCTAGTAAAGAGGCTGTCACCCAGTCTAAAGGTCTTCAGGCACCAAAGATGCAAAAACCTCACCAGAGTCACGGTATCTAAACATCTCCATTGCCTCTCCATGGAGGCATACTCTTCCCCCGAGTCAGAAAAATGGGAATCAGGAGGACAGGAATTTATAATAGAGTTCACCTTTATTATTTCACTCAACTGAATATCTTGACACACATATTTCCCAGAATTTGTCATATTAAGGGACAAAAGTTCTAATGGTGAGTGTCTATGCTCTTATAAATGGGTTAATCTTGAAGGTAGCTCACTAATTTCAAAAAACAAAAGCAGATGACATAGATCCTGTCCTCAAATCATGTATAAAGTGGTTAATATTGAAAACATCTGACCCGACATCTACCTGGGAGAAGACTCCATAGTTCTCATCTCATGTACCACCCACATCAGGCAGCTCTCAATATAATTGGCTCAGCCATGGGGAGAACACCACCATCTTGGAAGCAAGAAGCAACCTTCAGTATGGAGGCTGCGTGCCAGTGAAGCTGGGGCAGAGAGACAGAAGGAAGCTGAAATGTTGATGCTACACCTCAGACTGCCTACTCCTGGCCTTCTAGACACGAGCCACGATAAGCCCTTAATGTGTTTACACCATTATTGTTTGAGTTCCCCGATTTTTCACCTAATTCCTAACCCTCAGGGATAAAAAAGGAGAAAAGTGCAAAGGGGTTTTCAATAACCTTTTCTAGAGGAAATCTAGAATTATACTTAGAATTTTAGAACGTTGCAAGATTGTATAGCAATTACATGCCTCTGTTTTTTTAGTCTGTTTCACTGTGACGATTAGCAATAAAATCTTCTGAAACCTCACAGACTCATGTTCATTTCCTCAGGGACAACAAGGGAGGGTAGACTGGGTCCCACTTTCCCTTCAGGCTTGGAAGGAAGAGAGCACTAAGGAGCAGCCACTACATGAAGAAAGGAACCTTCTAGCCCTGAGTCCTGCCCCAGGTTAAGACACGGGAGCTCAGGGGGCTACCAGGCCTGGCAAGCAGCCCTGGGGAACGAGGAGGCCCACAGGAATCCAGCTTCTCCATCCTGCCATGCCCAGGGGTTGGCTGGACTGTGCCCTGCTCTCACATACCTGGATCCCCTGGTTCCTGAGTAATAATCTGTGTTCTGACCCCAGGCTGGCCTCGGCCTTGCTCCTGGTGTCTGTCCTGACACCAGTCCACCTACATGGGTGAGGTCACTCTTGTACTTGATTCTGATCCTTGACATCAGCCTAGTCTCAGAAGCCTTTTCCAGATTTCCCCACCTTATTTCTTCTTTCTCCTTTATAATCTCCTACCACCTGCCCAGCCTGATAATTTACTTTACCTACAAAGAGCCGCAGCATCCCAGGTGAGATGCACCTACCTCCCAAGTCCTCAAAGTCATGGATCCTCTTCCCAGCCCACCAGTCCTCCCATGTCCCCACCCCAACCTCAAGGTGTCTTCAACTGAATGAGACCCCAAGCATTTCAGCTACCTATGGTAACATATCTTTTAAGGTCTTCAGTAAATTTGGGGGCTTGTGCTTTTCCTGGGCATTTTTCATTATTTTGCTGACCTTCTCCCAACCATAGGGGTATCCATGCCCTCCACATCTCCCTATCAGCTCATTGGCCAATGTCAAAAGATCTTTTGCCTAGGCTTCCCTGGCTTGGCCACTTTCTTTGTTATTAAAAGCACAAACTCGCCCCTCACACTTTTTAATTATCTTCTTAAGAGCTTTGTTATCTGTGTTCTTGAGGTACTCCTCAAGCTTCTCATCTCCTAGATCTTCCTTCCGGGTGAACACCACAATCGTATATTTCATAACTTCCTCTCCAAAGATGGTCTCCAGTTCCCTCACCACGTTTTCATCCTCCTGAGTGAACCGTCCCAGCTGCAACACCAGGACCAGAATCTTGCTCCCTTCTTCACAGCAGGACCAACAGCGTTCGACCTCCTGCTCCAGCTGGGATGGACCTCCCTCAGCACCGGGCATCAGGTGGAGTGAGGGAGTGTCCACAACCACAACATCCTGCCCTTCCCACTTCCTCCTGCTGCTCTGGCACGTCTTGGTGACTGGCTGCGCTAGAAGCTGAGAGGGGAATTTGTCCCTTCCAAGGATGGTGTTCCCCGTCGCGCTCTTCCCAGTCCCGCTCCTCCCCACGAGGACAATGCTCAGGGCCTCTGTTGAAAGGAAAGCGGGAAAGATTCGTGACCACGGGCTGATCAGGGTATGACATTCAAAGTTATGCCATACATTACAGCAGAGGATGCTCAGAGAGCTTCAAGGCAACCCTCTCGCCTGGCTGCTCCATCCCCAGGCATGAGAATGGCTTGTTCCAGTCACGCGGTCTGTGAACTCAGAAGCAGGACTTGACCACAGTCTCTGCCCTGTGCTCATCCATTGACATGGCACTGTTCCTGTCTCTGAATCTGCTCTGCTTCCTCTTTCTGGTACCTTCTCTGACTCCCTGGCACCTTGTGAATGCTGCTGGCTTTATTATTCTTCACCTACTCAGCTGGTCCAGTGACCTACACAACTCATCTTTTTGTCTTCTGCTCCTGCTGCGACTATGTCTTCCTATTGCCAACTAATGCTAACTGTAGCAAAATCTCCTTGATGTATTTGAAAAATTATTCCATAGAATTGACTTTTCATGAAAAATGTAACTGTGTATACCAATGGTGGTTTACCAGTTCCTTTGGCTGGGTCACACTGAAATCCATTGCTCATTAAGACCACGTTAAACTTGATTATGTCTCTCATGGATGAGTCAAAAGTCACTTCACGGTTTTAATAATGAATATCCCCTAACACTGTTCTGTGCAGTGACAATAATGGAGAATAAATTTTCCTATAAATGAAATTACAGATGCACAGAGATCTTACGAGGTGTATTACTGGGGGTTTCTTACGACTTTGCACTTGTACTGTGATCTCTCTCTCTCTCTCTCTTCCATTCAGGTCTCTTCACAGTTCTGCTCAATTATGAATTCTTTACCAAATTACTAGCATCCACCCCCAAAAAAAGAGGGAGGAAAGCTCATTCTGTGCTCTTCCTTCCAGGTGAAATCATTGAATTGCTTATGCTGAAGCTGCAATCCTATAGTTATGCTTTCAGGATGAAAAATAAATGAATCTTCTGACACCCCAATATTTGTCATGTATTTCAGTCCCTGCTTCCATAAAATCAGAGGGTGTGGTTCTCAAGTCCTCTCTAATCTGATCTAACCTCCTCATCCCACGTTATCTAGATGTGTGAACCCTCCATTTCCATGAAGACTATTCCCTTTTATTCCCTCTGAAGTGGCATGCTTAGTCCTACCTCCTTGCTTCAGATTGCTAGTGTACTCTCTGGAATGACTTCCAGCTTTCTGCTCAGCCATCCAAACTCTACCTATTCTCCAATGCCTGTTTCAAATTGTGCTTTCTCCACACAGCTTCCTCAGCTTTCTCACATGTCTGTACTTCATGAGGCTACCCAGCACCTGGCCCCCCATGAAGAATTGAAAGGGCTCAGTAAACAGATATGACTTGGTCTGATATTCTTCCTGGTGAGGACACTGTAGCAGAAGAGAATGTCACGAGCAGTGCTGGGCTGGAAGAATCTCAGCTCAGGTCAGTAGAACATGGAATGCTTAGTGGATAGCAACTCCTGCTTTAGCAGTAGATAGGGTTTTATGACTGGGCTAATAAAACCCATCTAGTGCCATGTGGGGGCCACCCATCAAGAGCATTCAGGCTCCCTGTCCTGTCCAGTCAAAATAGCTTCCTCTCTCCAACAGAGAGAAGAGTAAAGAACCGAGAGACTGGACAAAGAAGATGAGAGAGAGAGTTAGGCTTAAGAGAAAGAGAAGAGTAAGCCAATGATCGGGAACTATCTCATCACCAACACTGAGCAATGAGCCCTGGACAACAGATACACTGTAAGGAAAACAAGAGATTGGAAGAGGTCAACTCCTTCCCTTAAGACCCTCACCATCCAGCTGGAGAGATAGGATAAGGGTCATGAAAAAATTAAACACCAGGTCAGGACAGCGTGCACAGAAAGGCACATCACTTTAGTAAAATGTGAGAAAGAACGGAGAAAGAGAAAAGAGTTAGTCAATAGCATGGACCTGTCCTTTTTATCTTCTCTATGCCCTTCAGAAAATGAAAAGTTCTTGTATATTTTATATCTATTTTTTAAGTATATATGAAATATTTTCTACACATTGTTTACCTCTCCCTCTGAGGAAGCAGGGCTTGTTTCCGTTTTGCTGCACCACACTCACAATGTTTTCCGGGAGCTCATCCACCTCATTTTGCTCCTCATCTCCGGTCACAACTGAAGGTGCTGTATCTGTTTTTACATTTCTTGATGAGCTGGTTGAGGGATTTATTTCTGTCTTTTAAGAACGTATCTACATTCTGATCCCCTATATCTTCCTTCCCGGTGAAGAGGACGATCATGTACTCAAAGAATTTGTCTCCAAAATTGCTTCGGATTGTGTCCAGCACTGCCTCATCATCTTTCTCAGTGAAAGAGCCCAGTGGGCTCACCAGCAGGAAGGCGTGGGGGCCCGGGAAGGTGTGTTTTGAAAGCTCTGATTCAAGGACCTTTGAAAGTGAGATGTCTGGAGTGTCAATGATTGAAATATTCCTCTGTTTCCAGATTCTGCTCTTACACCTAAACATCTGGGTTACTGACTGTTCACTGAATTTGGTCTCAAAGACTCGCTTCCCCAGAAGGCTGTTTCCAACGGTACTTTTTCCGGCCCCACGCTTCCCCACGAGCAGGACCTTCAGTTCTGACATCCCAGGGTTCTGCTCACATCCTGTGGCCTGCAGCTGCTTCTCCTCTGGCCCTGCAGGACAAAATGACAGATTCAGAGTCTCTTCTTGCACAGGACGCAGAGACGTGGACGGGTTTTATGATTTCTCATCCTTGTCAGTTTTTATAGAGAATGGCAGTAGGGTACTGAACCAGTAGAACTCTAGTCCCAGAGAGAAGCTACCCATCAAAGTTAAAGCCACGAAAGGCACCAGGAACCAATTAAAAGATATGTAAAGTGTGGGGCCGGCCCCATGGCTTAGCAGTTAAGTGTGCGCGCTCCGCCACTGGCGGCCCGGGTTAGGATCCCAGGCACGCACAGGTACACCAACGCACCGTTTGTCCAGCCGTGCTGAGGCGGCATCCCACATACAGCAACTAGAGGGATGTGCAACTATCTACTGGGGCTTTGAGGAGAAAAGGAAAAAAAAAGGAGGATTGGCAATAGATGTTAGTTCAGGGCCAGTCTTCCTCAGCAAAAAGAGGAGGATTGGTATGAATGTTAGCTCACGGCTGATCTTTCTCACACATGCACAAAAAAGATACGTAAAGGGCTTGAGGTTACCCAGGAACACGATAACGTTAAACTTGGTCTTCACTGGTATTGGTCCTTAGGCTTCCTCTCACTTTGCTACCAAAAGTAAGTACTGGGGCATGAAGTCAATGGACTAAGGCAGGACCAGGGAGAATCCAAGTTTAAAATGCCCCTTAGTGGTATATTCATAAAATAGAACAGAACTCAGCAATTAAAAAAAAAAAAGGGAGTGACTGATATGCAATGTGGATGGATCTCTAAAACATGCTAAGTGAAGACAGCCAGCCACAATACTATACACTATGTAATTCCATTATACTATGTTCAAGAACAGACAAAATTAATCTATGTTGATAGAAGTCTGGAGATGGTTCCCTTTGTGGAGGGGCAGTAAGAACTTCTAAGCTGATGGAAATGCTCCATATCTTTATCCAGATGGTGGTCACACATGTGTAGATATGTAAAATGTCTTTGAGCAGTATACTTAAGATTTGTGTATTTTACTTCATGTGAATTATACCTCAATGGTGTAACAACCTGCACCTCAAAACTGTCTCTCCACACAGCCCTGTCCCCACTGTTCTCCTGTGGTCCAAGCTCAACACCAGACCTATGTGCTGAGCAAATGGCAGAGCCAGCAACTACAGGAAATATTCACTGAGTCTGAGTCATCCAGGGCGCTATTGGTGTGGATCGTCACTCAGTATCTGAGTGGCAGGTCTGGGAGGTGGAGTGAACATGGCATTTAAAGAAAGCAGCTGAAACGCTAGTGACACCATGTCCTTGTTATGTCCCCTTGGGAAAGTTACTGCTTTCCCCAAAATCACCTTACACAAGCCCACATTCTATAAAAAGTACTTTTCAACACCCTCATTCTGAGACGCCCCATGGTTCCCCACGACGTGCTATTCTTTTACTTCCATGAGTCAATAAACCCCATTTTGTTCAGGAAGAGGTATATTCTTGGGGGTCTTGGCTAAAGAACTTGACAGAATTTTAAATCCCTACTGCTGCCTGAATTCACATATTTCTGGCTAAGTTTACTCATCTGTAAAATGAGCATAATGATAAGAACACCTTCTTTATAGGGTTGTTATGATGAATATGTATACAGGGTTGTTATGAGGATTATATGTTATATGCTACGAGGATTAAATGATTTATATATTTCCCACATAATACCAGCTGCAATTATTATCACTGTTAAAATTATAGTTATTATTTTGGGGAGTTCTATGACGACAGAGATGTCATCTATCTTATTCACTGCTGAATATTCAATTCTTGCACAGAGCTGGCCCAGAAATAACCTGAAAGTCCATCAATAATGGGATGGTTGAGTTAGTTGTATAAGCCCATACTATGGACCAAATTGCATGTACTAAACAGAACAAGGTAGATCTATACATACTGACTTATGCAGTGTGCAGGATGTACTATTAGCAGCAATCATTACATGGATACTGAGCTCCATCACTGAAGTCTGTAAGTTAGTGTTATCTGCGAAGGTGTGATTTCTGCTTTCCCAGTAGGAGTCAAAAACTGGGAAGTGCTGGGGGGCCGGCCCAGTGGTGTAGCGGTTATGTTCCCGGGTTCCACTTCAGCTGCCCTTGGTTCACCAGTTCAGATACTTGGCGCAGACCTACTCACCACTCATCAAATGATGCTGAGGCAGTGTCCCATATAGAAGAGCTACAATTCTACAACTAAGATGTACAACTACGTACTGGGGCTTTGGGAAGAAAAGAGAAATAGGAAGACTGGCAACAGGTATTAGTGCAGGGCCAATCTTCCTCAAAAAAAAAAATTGGGTAGTGCTGGATCCATGGCCAGACAAAAGAGGCTGAGTCAGGAAAGAAGCCGTGAGAGGCAAACCTAGCTCTGTAATATTTCAGAGACGGTCAATGACACCAACGCCATGTCCAGGACCTTTGCTGGTGATGCACCTACTCACAAGTATTAGGAGTTCCCTGGGAGACAGGTGGTGGGCACTGACCTGAACTAGGTCTCCAGGGTGCATTTTTGTTCTGACTCATCTGGATAATTTTTCCACTACACTTTGACGCATGATACATTCAAAAGAATACAGATAGGAGCTTAACATTTTTTAAGAATCATCTTACTATGTGGATTGTCCTCCTTCTGTGATGTAGCTTCATTCACAGAGTCCTAGAAAATAAAGGGGGAAAATGATGCACGCAGATCTAAAATCTCATGTTTTCAGAAAGTAAATAAATGGAGACACAAGTGCAGTCATGTGTCGCTTAACGATGGGGATACATTTTGAGAAATGTGTCATTAGGCAATTTCATCATTGTGCGAACATCACAGAGTGCATTTACACAAACCTAGATGGTATAGCCTACCACACACCTAGGCTCAATGATACTAATGTTATGGGACCACCGTCATATATGTGGTGTGTCGTTGACTGAAATGTCATTATGCGGTGCATGACTATATATAATCCAGAGTGATCTGATGATTAGGATGTGGTCAAATCAAAGCCATGGTCATGGTCCTTGCTGGCCTTTGTAGACCTGTTCATAATGATGGTTGTTCTCGAGACCTCACTGCAGCTGCTGCTGCTGCTGTGACAGTTTCCCAGAGTAAGAAGATGGGTCCTGTTCTCACACAGAGGAGCCCCACAAATGCCATCTAACCAGGGCATTGTTCCTGAAGCTCTCTAACTTTACTTCTCCACAGTCCCTGAGAGTAAGAGTAATTCCTTCCAAAGTCTTCCAGAGTTTCTGCTATTCCTGGAGATAATCCAGAGGCTTAAGAAGAGTTTCCAGACTCCCTGAAAGAAGAAACTAGCCCTGTAGTGCCTGTGATGTGCATCTGAGGAACAAGGGGAAGGGAGGAGGTTGGGGATCAGCTCCCCACATAGCTCCAACGTCTTCTTCCCTCACTGCACCCCTGGTACAGAGATGAAGCTTCTTCTAACATTAGATCCAGAAAAATTGGAACCTTCCCCATCCAGGTGGGCAAATAGAGACAACAGAGGATGGGGTGCCAAACACACAACTGGCATCCCCTTCAGCTGCCTGGTGAAGCCTTATACTCGCTCCCGAAATTTAAACTTTCATGGAACCAAAAGAGAAGGTGAAAACAGTGATATGCAGTCTTGATGAATCTACTGTTCTTAGAGACTTCCTGTACTTTATTTTAGCCTTATCTCTGTTAAATCTCCATGCCAGCCAAGGAAATTTCCCTCTGCTCTCTTACTTGGCCCTACCCAAAACCGTTGACACCCTCAATCATCTCTCCCTAGGTCCTCTCCAGTCAGCTTGGAGTATCAGACTTCTTTTTCTTTGAACACAGCCCAGTTCAAATTCTTTCACGTTTTTTAAATGCAAAAAATTATTACAATGCAAATGTGCATGACCTAAAAATTAATAATTTTCTGTCTCCAATCCATCAGAACAGTAACAGTTTTATATATATATGTAGATAGATGATAGATAGGTAGATATATATATCATATATGTATATGAAGGAATACATACATATATATAGATACATAAGTTATATATGTACAGATATATACCCTTCTATGTTTTTCTATGTTTACACAAATACATACGAACATATAGAGAGACTTGCTAGGCTTTTTATTCTGCAATTTGCTTAATAATATGTCCTGTACATCTGCACAAGTCAATTCATACAGCTCAACCCCATTTTTTTTTTTAGCAGATGTTACTTGTTCCATAGTATGAATGTACACAACTAATGCAACCATTCTTTTATTGATAGACCTTCAAATTATTTCTGGCTTTACTACTCAAAAGATGCTGTGGTAAATATCCTTGTACACAGATCTTTATACATAAAAACGTTTTTATTTCTGGGTGATATCATCCTAAATGTGGGAATCTTGCTCAGTCTTTAGATTGTTAAAGTCCTTAAAATTTCCATTATTTATTAGAACCTCATATACTTCTATACTAATAACAATAATAACAGTTGATAATTATTGAACACTTACCAAGTTTCAAGCATTTGCAAACAACTTTGTAAGCATTTCATTGAATGCTTATTACATAGTATTATTACCTCCTTTTTACAGAAGACAAAATTAAGGTGTTGTGATCAACAAAGCAGATACGAGTTCTGTCCTCATGGAGTTTGTGGGGAGGCTCCCATCGCAGATCTATTCAGAGGAATCACTTGGTACGATGATGACCACGTGAGAAGCACTGAGAGGGAGGGGAGCTGTTGGGGCTCACCCAGGGGCCAATCGGGGAGGACTCCCTGAGGAAGTGAGTTTAAGCTGAGGCAGATGGACACATAAAAGCAGATCTGGGATGGGATGGGATGGGAGAGGGGAAGCCTCAGGCAGATTGAACTGCAGGTTTGAGGCTTTAGAGTGGACATGAGCATAACTAAAGGACCAAAGGGAAGGCCGGTGACACCAGCACATAGAAAGCAAGATAGACGGTGAGGGACCAGGTCAAGTCAAGGGCTCTGAACTTGATCTGAAGACCAGCGGGGAGTCACTGAGGCATTTTAAATCAGAGGGTATTCAGGTTACACTGTAGAAAACTCATTCTGTGCCCCTTCTCCTCTCTGCTGACATCTCTGTTCCAGGCCTCCTTCAAGAGAGAGACAGATGGTCATGAAGGAGAGAGAGAGCTCAGGTCTAGGAGACAAGAGAGCAAGTGACTTCAGTTCTCTTGAGCCTCTGGGGCCTCATCTGTAGAATATCAGTACATAGAATTGTTGTGAAGACTTAATCAGTTCATGTATGTGTCTGGAACTTAGTAGGTGCTCAACGAATATCCATTTCTCTCTCATTTAGATCATGTTTGGGCTCAATACTCAGTAGCTGTAAGAAGATTAACTCTGACCAAAACTGTCCCCATGCTGAATTCTTACTTGCTTCACATTCTCCGGCACCTACATTTATAGAATTCTCTATACCAACATTCACTTACCTGCACTGAATCACTTATTGCTTTGTTTCTTATGCATAGGTCACTCCAATTGAATGGTACTCTCCTCAAAGGCAAAATTTTACATTTTTGTATCTTCCTTAGTTACGAATACATTTTCCATTCCAGTTTAAAAATCAAATAAAATATCACTCTGGCTGTTGTGTGTGAAATGGATTGCAGGGTAAGGCACAAGAATGAATGAGGGCAAAGTTGTTAGTAGATTACTTATAAAATAGGACAGGCAAGAAAAGAGGCTGACTTAGACCAAGTGGTGGTAGTGGAGATGGAGAGAAGCAGGTGGATTCCAGGTACACTGATGACCTCTTGGATATCAGCTGCAAGCTAGCAGTGGTATCAAAGCTGACATCTGGGTTTAGGTTTGAAGTTCATGGTGTGCAGCACAACCAGTTACTGAGTTGAGAGCAAGACTGAAGTCTTATAGATTTAAGAGGGAAAAGCAAAAGTTTGGACATGTTAAGTTTGAGATCCTACAAGAGAGCCATGTGGACATGTCAAGTAGCAACTGGAAAAAGGAGTCAGAACTCCGAGGAGAGACCTGGACTAGTATTACTAATTTGGAAACTGTTAGCAAGAGATAGAGCTCAAAGCCGTAAGAATATGGAATCATCTGAGGAGAAAGTGTAGAGAATTGAGGAAAGGCTAGAACCAAGCCCCAAAGATGCCAAGTTTTAGAGGTTATTAGAGGAGGACTCAGCCGTCTCTGGAGTAGCCAGTAAGAGAGGGGGCAAAGATAAGAGGGTAGTTTTATTGAAGCCAAGGGAAGAAAGAGTCTAATGAGTCACTTGTGTGTCCAATACTATGAGGCTAAAGTTAGACAAGGACTCAAATGTATCCAAAGTCCAAGTCCAAAGGGTAATACTCAAAGTAACCAACCAGCTGGTGCCTCATTGTTCCAGATATGGATAAATATCTCCTTAAGCAATGCCTGTGTTCCATCACACAATGCAACATTTCACTTATTTACACCCATTTTCATCCTACTAGCTCTAGCAACATAGAGATCTTTGGAGACCTTAACAAGAATTCTCACCTGGAATCCAATGCCTTCATTTCTGAATTTCACACAATATGGTCTTCGGTTCTCATCCACCAAACACGTGATCTTGCAGAGGAGCTCCCTCACCTGGGTGTCCCACTCACCCTCACTTGCCTTGTTGTTGAAAGCGCAGTACCGGTCTCCACAGTCTTGAACCAATTCCCTAAGAGAGTCATCATCTTCAATGTAATCTTGTAGGGAGTCATCACCGAAGTCATCCTTCCGGGTAAAGACAATAATGATGTGCCTCTTGGCTTCAGCTCCAAACACCTTCCAGATGACATCAATTGTTTCTTTGTCCTCCGGCTTATGGTAGCCAATGGGAACTACCAGAAGCAGGACATGGAGGCTGGGAGCGGAGAGCTCCAAGCAGTGTTCAATGTTGCGGTGCCTGTCACTGGCACAAGGTACTGAAGAGAAAAGCTCGAGGGTGTCGATGATCACAACCTCCCTCTCTCTTGTGGCCCCCTTCTCCTCCTGGCACATTTTAGTCACCATCTGCTCACTCGGCTTGGACTTGTACACAGCTTTGCCCAGAATAGTGTTTCCTGTGGCACTCTTTCCTGCACCATGTTTGCCTAGGAGGAGAAGCCTCAGTTCCGACATGGAGCAGCCCTCCTCTGACTTGCTCTCCAGACAGAGGCTCCTGCTTATTCTGTTGGGAGAAAAAGCAACACATCAATGTTCAACTCACATGCAGAGTGGAGAGAGGAACAGCAAGAAACTACATTTTCTTTTTCACTCAACTTTTTGCCCAAGGATTTGGGCCACTGAAGTCCTAGACTCAGACTAGACTGGGACAAGAAATCCTGTTTCCCAGGATCTTCCCTGGGCTCTTATCTCTGAAATAAACCCACATTGGTAAAATGTCAAACACTGTTGATAACCCCCTTCTCTATACACATCTCCCACTCTACCTGCTGAGGGAATCTAGACACTGTCTGTGATGGAGAGAGTAACGCCCCACTCCCCCAAGATGTCCATGTGCTAATCCCCAGAATCTGTGACTAGGTTACCTTTCATGGTAAAAGGGACTTTGCCAAGGTGGTTAAGGATCTTGAGATGAAGAGATAATCTTGGATCATCCAGGTGAGCACAATCTCATTAAAAGAGGTCCTTATAAGAGGGAGGCAGGAAAGTCAGTGTGAGAAAAAAAAGATGTGAGGGCAGAAGCAGAGGTGGGAGAGTGAGAGAGATTTGAAAATGCTACACTGCTGGCTTTGAAGATGGAGGAAGGGGCCACAGCCAAGGGGGATGCAGGCGGCCTCTAGAAGCTGGAAAAGGCAAGGACACTATTCCCCCAGAGAGCTTCCAGAAGGATCATAGTCCTGCCCAACACCTTGATTTTAGGACTCCTGACCTCCAGAACTGTAAAATGATAATTTTGGGGTTTTTAGGGACTAAGTTTGTGGCAGTTTGTTACAGCAGCAAAACCAAATCATACATTCTCTCTCCCAGCTTCCCCTCCAACAAGGGGTGTCCGTGTGACCTGATGACAGTGGAGGGAACGTTGGCTTGGGCCTTCTGGGGACGCTGTTTTGTTCTTGATGGTAGGGGCAGACTCAAGTAGAGAGCTCCTGTTGTCACCTCTTCCCCTTTCATCTTATTTGGAATTTAAATGTGATATCTGGAATTGCGGCAGATATCACGGGGCAATGAGGTAACAAATAAGAGAACAAAAAGTCAACAGGCACCATCAGGCTAAAGGACAGCAGAGTAGAAAGATAGAAGGATCCCTGCTAACATCACTGAGCTGCCAGAACACCCTCGAGACCACTTCTTTGTTAAATAAACAGCTAATATTCTTACAATTTAAGCTGTTGCTACTCAAAGTGTGATTTGCGAGCAGGAATATTGGCAACAACTGGGATCATAGTAGAAATGCAGAATCTTAGGCGCCAACCCAGACCTGCTGAATCAGAATCTGTAATTTAACAGGTTCCAGGTGATTCTCATGAACACTCAAGTTTGAGAGACACTGGTGTACGCCACCGTTACTTACAAATTAGCATTCCCAACTGAATCAGAATCCACAGGAAGAGCCAAATTTCCCAACACCATTAGTTGAATAGTCCAACCTTTGTCAGATGATTCTGTCAGACACCAGGTGCCCCTATTTCCATGAGACTCTCCCTAGGTTCTCTGTTTTGTCCACTGGACTCAGTCTATTCCTGAACCAGAATGTCTTAATTACTAAAACCATATGACTTAGTATAACTTTAAAATAGGTCTTAGCTATCTGTCGAGCAGCCCTCAACACCTTACAATTGTTCAAAATTGTCTCACTATTCTTGGCTTTTTAATCGTCTACAGGACTTTTAAAATCAGGTGTCATTTTCTTTGGGAAATCCTGTTGAAATCCTGAAGGCCCCTGCACTGAACTGACAGCATAGTTTGAGAAGAATTGACATCTTCACAATGTTGTCATTCCCGCCATTCTTTTTGTTGATCAGTTTTAAACACATTCTAATTTCAACTGATTTATTTTTGATCCATAGATTAAGAGACATGATTACTAAATTTAACAATGTATTGGGAGACTGGCTCTCGTTATTTCCAATGTTACTGCACTATGGTCAGAGAACAACATCTGCATAAAATACTTGTCCTTGGTTGAGATTTACTTTTTGGCCCAATAAGACTCTGGTAAATGTTTTGTGTGGGCTTGAGAAGAATGTGTAGCCTGTAACCGTGGGTGTCTTTCACAGAGACCCCCCCCATCTCTGCTACCTCAGCTCCAGTTCCCCAGAAGGTCCAGCATGCCCTTCCCTGCACTCCTCTCCCCTGTCTGCCTGGAAAATTCCTCCCCATTCTTCACACATAGCTTGAGTGTCACCTCCACATCAAGCCTTTCCTGATTTTTCCAGATTGAACTCATCATCGGCTCTTTTCTGGACTCCCGCAATAACATTATCCCTGGTCTCCCTGCTCCCACTCTCTTCCTAGAGCTTAAAATCCATCAGCAGCTAGAGTGCTCCTGCTAAAACAAGAGACAGATAATGTCCCTCATCCCTCCAAAATCCCCCAGTGGCTTCCCAGCCCCTCAAAGTAACAGGCAAGCCTTTATAGCAGTCTACAAGACCCTACCCAGTCTGGGCCCTGGCCGCCTCTCTGAACTCATCTCCCTCTCCCACCTTGCTTTGTCTGCTGTAGGCACATTGGCCTACCTGCTGTTCCCCAAACTGTGACCTTGGGCCTTTGTGCTGGTTGTTCATGTGAGCTAGAACGTTCTTCCCCCAGACTTGTGCAAGGCAGTTTCACTTTCTTTAGGTCTCTACCACATTGTCCCCATGGTGCAGGAGGCCTTCTTCAGTGACCCTCTATTTAAGAGCAACCCGCCACTCTGCGCCCACCAGCACCCCCGTCCCTGCACACTGCTCTGTGTTTCTCCCCAGCCCCCACTGCTACCACCCTTCACAAGTGCATCTACCTGCTTATCGCTTTCTTCTTGTCTCCCGCCTCTATAAGGTAAGTCCCACGAGGACAGGGACTTGTTCTGCTGTGTTCACCACCGTCCCTACAGCACAGAGAAGGCATCCCATAAACACTTGCTCAGGACTGAGGAGATGGTTGTTGACTTGAAGAACAAAGAAACGCAGCTGAAGATAGTGAAGAGTGAGAAAAGCCCTATTTCTGTGTAGCCATTTGACAGTTTGTCCCTTTTAAGAGAGCAGTGTCACGGACCACTGAAGGGAGAAACCGCACTGCAAGGACAGAGCCAGAGGAGGTGGAAAGGGAGGATGCAGACTCCTCCTTCAAGAGGCTTCACCACCAAGGAAACCCAGTTGGCTGAGGGGAGGAGAGCCCACCGGGGCCACGCACAGGGACCTGGGCTTCTCTCTAGAATCATCTGGATCTCTGCAGGACGCAAGAGGCCAAGCCCGCCTCAGACTGAGACACTCACCCCAGAACGGTTGCTCCAAGGAGAAATAGACGTCTTGGTTGCTTAAGTCCAGTAGCTGTTGGGACTCTTCTAAGAGCATCCTCTGACCCCGACATACTCCTTTATAGAGAAGACCTGAGGAAGTGAGGCCCTCAGACTAGCGCTGCTTCCCAGGCCAAAGATTTCTTTCCCCAAGCTAGTAAAACACTTGAAATGCTAGAACTTGGAGCTAGCAAAACACTTAAAATGCTAGAACTTGGATGCTTTCATATAGGTCTTAAAATGAAACCCTTTTTGTGAGAGATAATACTGTCCAAAGTCCCTGGTTGCTGCTACAAAAGGATGTCCAACACTTCAAAAGACTTTTTTATTTTATCTTCTTTTATTATGGTAAAAAAAACCCATAACATTAAATTTACCACCCTAAGAGCACAGTTCAGGAGCGTCAAGTACATTTACCTTGTTGTGCAACGAGCTCCAGAACTTTCCCATCTCGCCACACGGAACCTCCATACCCTTTAGACACTAATTCCCCCTCCCGTTCCTGTTCCCTCCCTGGTAACCCCCTTTCTACTTCTGTTTCTATGATTTTGATGACTTAGATACTTCATACCGGTGGAAGCAGACAGGGGTTTGTCCTTTCGTGTCTGGCTTTTCTCACTTAGCATCATGTCCCTGAGGTTCACCCATGTGAGAACACGTCATCAGGAAACAGAGCCTGAGCCCACACCGTCACACCAGGCTTTGTCTTCCACACGTCTGAGGTGGTGCTGAGCCTTCCAGAGACCCCACAGAAGGAGCAGCAGTGGGGGCCCTGAACAGGCTTTGAGGGACCTCTCTGTCCCCAGGGGTCCACCTCCCTCTGGGCTGGTCTTCATGGTCAGCCTCCTTGGGAAGCTGAAGGAAAACCTGGTTATGCTGGCGCTGCCCACTGAGGGCTCGGGGCTGCACCCTGGTGGGGAAACTGACAAAGCCTCCCTGTCCCCTCCCACTGACCCCCTTAGTGAAGGAGGACCCGCCGCAGGAAGACGGCCCACCTCTACTTCTGTTGGGCACTAGGTCAGTTCACGTCAAATCAGCTCATCAAAACGATCAGACAAAAGTCTTCATCCCTGCCAGTGCTCACCAGTCACCCCAGAATGAACCGCCCATCAGAAAAGGTGTAACTGACCAGGGCTGGGGTGGGTTTTTGATGACAATCAGACTTCACGAAGTGGGTTATATTTAGGGAAACCCTTAGGAGTGGGGCGAGGCCTTTAGTCGTGGAATTTAGATCAAACCCTGGTGATGTGCGTTGTGGGGGCAGAGTTGTGTTTAGGTGGGAGGGCCCAGGGTGGGGCTGGGTTCGGTCAGGGTTGTCGGGAGGCCATAGTTTGTTACTGACCATCTACAGTATGCCTCGTCCTGGGATAACAGACCACTCTGGGAGGAGCAGGGAAAGAGCAGGCACTCTGCACTCCAGGAGCTTCCACTCGCTCTGATCCTCGGCCAACCTGGAGGGAACCTCCCAGACGCACCCCTTCTCTGCTGATTGTCAGTTCCTCTCCCCTTTACCCTGTAACTGTGCCATCTGCCTTCCTGCCTCTGCCTTCCCTAGTATTGCTCTGAAATGTGCCCCTACCCCCTGCCCCGGCTCAGCCCTCTTCTCCACCAGGGCCTAGCTTCTCTAACCGTCTAGCCCCCATTCCCCCTTACTCCTCTGAGCAGTACCCATGTTAATCACCATCTCACTCTCAGGTATTATGTGCAGTCTTACACTCCAGCTTCCTGTGGGTGTGTGTGTGTCTCGAATCTCCAATGAGACTGTGGGCTCCGGGAGGACAAGGGTCTAGCACAGGGCTGGGCCCGTAACCTCAGGAAATACGTGTCGACTGGCTGACGGGTCAGGTGCCGGAGGTTGTGGGGTGGCTGGTGCCGGGAGGTGCCAAAGGGGAGAGGGCCTGTGAGCTCACCGGTGGGTGCATATCACTGAGCTGTGGGCTGGCTCCCCTGGGCAATAATGGCCAGAGGAGGCCTCAGATCCTCCCCTACTTGGGGCTGTGGGACAGGAGGGACCCCCTATGGCTGTGCAGGAGTGTGCGTAAATGCTTGTCCAGACTGGATATTTCCGAAGGTCACTGACACCTGCCGGAGCTGACCGAGTGGAATAAACATTCTCTCGACGTGAGCAAGTGTGAGGACTGGTCGTTTAGGGCTCAGCTGGGAGAGGGCGGTGGCCTCTGGCTTGCTCCATCATTTCTTGGGGAGTTATGTTCACGGTAACTCGTGGTGGCCAAAGGCTAGAGGAAACACAGCTCAAAGGCCACAGCAGTGAATTAGTTTAGGCTCCCCCCCAGTGTGGATGATTACTGCCATTTGCATTTGGATAACGGATATTGGGGCTCCTTGAAGTAGCCCCAACTGCTTGCTCAGCCCGCAGTGAGGCCTGAGAACCTGCGGGGTGATTCCCATCAGTACCTGAGAGGTGGGTGGCTGAATGTCAAGAGACCATCCAGCTCTGGAGCTGGGCCATCTCCACCGAAGGGTCTTGGCCAGTCACATAACTCTCCTGAGGTTAGTCTTCTCATCTGCCACACGGGGAAAGCAATTCCTGCTCCTCTTACCCCGCGGAGTCATGGGAACAAATAACACACATAAGCTGTAAGCTGCAAGCTGCACAGCACAGGGCTTTGTCATCCTCCTCCTCCTGCCGAAGGGGGCCCTCCCTGGCCACTGACCACGTCATTTCACAGCCCACGTGTCTTCTGTCATGGAAAGTGCTGGAGAGTGTTTATGTCAGGCCGGCCACCAGCAGCCATGAGACTTGGCTGAGTGAGTTCCCTCCTGTTTTTTGGTGAGGGGCTGGGCCCAATCATGGCTGAGGCTCACTCCAGAATGTTCTATCGGGGAGGAAGACAAATCTTCTACCCACTCTAGGTCCTTCTGGCTGGGTACAAATTAAATTGACATGAGTCAGAATAACAGGAGAAAATCAAACAAAGCTTTATAACATGTGTACTTGAGAGAAACCCAGGAAAGCTGAGTAACTCGCCAAAAGGGCTGAGCTGCCAGCTTAAATATCATCTTCAGCTAAAGACAAAGGAGGTTGTTGGGCATAGTGGTGTGGGACTTCAAAGGGGAAGAAGGCAATTCACCTGGAGATGGAAAAGCAAATGTTTGGTAGATAAGATTGGGCTTAGCAAGGACCCTCCAAGTCTCCCGATACCCAGAGTTATCCATGGTGATGGCCTGTCCTGGGGACAGGGCTTTTATCTTAAATTCTTTTGGGCAGTTAGGGGGAAGACCAAAGTTTCTTTTAGAGCCTTTTGTTCTTAAAAATAATCAAGGCAGGGCAAAGAGACACATTTTGGGGTGGCCAGTTCTGATCCCCCACAGTTCCTTCTGTGCCTTGCTCTTTGACCCAGATTTGGGGCTGCATCAGTTGTCTCTGTCAGCCAAGGAGGGTCCCCAGTGGTGGTGACTGGAGGACAGGGCCTTTGAAACTTGACTGGGGGAGGGGAGGGAATCAGGCAGGACTTGTTCAACTCCACTTGATGCCACAAGGGGAAATAGTCCTCACATAACTGAGAGTGCAGTGACTCCATGGGACACCGGGACCGGCCCGCCTTTGGCTCTGCTCTCCCTCGTGTTGGGTGTTGGCCGCCACAGCTTACAGGGAGCCCCCTGCCTGCCCAGGCTTGGTTCCTCCCTGAGCGGATCTGCGGGGCTGACTCGTTGGCCTGTTACCAGACCAGCGTCGCGCCAACACATCTATGCAGTGTTCTGAATGGCCAGGCCTGGGCAGCGCTGCCGCTGAGGGGGTCAGCCCCACCCGGAGTCCACGGTCCGCAAGCGGGGGCAGGGAGGGTTCACAGGGAAAACCGGAGGCAAGAAGGCAGGCGAGTGTGTTCCAGGTGGCAGACCACCACCCCTGCTACCGACCAGCAGACCAGCAGCGTTGCGTCTCCTGGGAGCTCGTTGTAAATGCAAAGTCACAGCCCCCTCTGGACTCCGGGTCAGGAGCTGCATTTTAACCGGATCCTCAGGGAATTGTGATGCAGGTGCTCTGCTCTGCGTCACTTTCCCACCTCTCTGGTGGCTTTTTCACTCTGGTGTTCCGTCAACTCTACCTCCAAAAGGGAGGAGACGGAGGCCTGGCATTTCTCGTAGGCAGGCTTGTGGGATGTAGAGACAAGACACTGCCTCCGCCAGGGCCCAGGGTC